AAATCCCAGGAGAGAACTTGATTATAGGGGCAAAATAAATTCAAATGTGAGCAACCTTCTTTTGAGGTAATAAAATTTTAATCATAACAGTGTTTGTTGCATAGCAGGTTCTTAGTAAATAATTTACAAAAGATTAAATAAAAATGGAATCATCTTGTGAAAACACTTTTTCCTTCTGGTAATTGAGAGACCAGTAACATTGTGAAAAAAATATTGAATTTAAGTATGGATAATTAAGAATTACATATCTTATAATATAGTTAACATATTAATAACATTATTATTTTACAATTTATTTTCTTTGTTAATTGTAAGCATTTGATGGATAATTTTTGCTATTTGACTCTATTGTCTGCCTTGTTCCCCTGATAAGACAGAAAGGAAACAACCATAAGTATAAACATGGGTAAACCCAGCTCAGAGAAGTAAAAAAATATATGCAAGAAAATTAATGGCAAAAATAGGAATATAACTTAAATCTCATGTCTCTCTGTTCAGTGAACATTATGCAAAATGTCACTTCCTTCTCTAGAACAAAACAATACAATGAACTGCAAATAGACAATAATATATCTAACATTAATTGGCTGATTCATATTTTCCTGGTACTTTGGTAAATGCTTTAGATCACAAGCTCATTAAATCCTCAAAAGAAACTTATGATGTGCGTATTATTATTCTCCTTTACAAGAGAGGAAATGTGGCTTACAGCAGTTTAAATGCCTGTCTAAATTCACACAGCTACTGGCAAGGTGGGATTTAACCTCAAGTCCCTCTGACATCAAGTCTAATCTGCAAACTTCCCCACTATAACCTACTATAACAAATTGTGTTCTTGCCTCTAGGTGTTGTGTAATAAGCTAAAACAGAAAAAAAAAAAAAGTGGAATGGTCCAAGGACATTGTTCCATGATGATTTTAAATTATAGACACTAACTTTCCTCCATTTAGGTTCTAGGTGAGTGACTCCACTGCCCCTCAATTGTCCCAGAACAGTAAGAAGGATTTCAACCTGTACTTCTCTCTCTGTTCATCACTTTTTTTCCTCTTATGCAGCCAATTATCAGTCCCATCAATTTGAGGTTCCCATATCTCTACATACCTCTTCACGCATGCTATTGCTTCTCTCCTGGTCTATGGCAAAAGTCTCCTAATTGGTCTCCCTCATATTTCGTTTTATCCCTTCCAATCATTCTGCACAAGTAACCAGAATGATTGATTTTTTTAAAAAAAATGAGCATACATGTTTGCTTACAGGGAAGCCCTCTTTATGCCTATGGCATAAGATCTACATTTTACATGATATTCAAAAGCCTTGTTGATCCAGCCCCTGTATCCTCCTCTCTATGTAGAAACTCTTACCATGCTGAAATATATACAATCCCGCGAACACACAGTGCTTTCATACCTGGATCTCTGTGCGCACCATTTGTGTGGTTGGAACACTCTCTCCTGCCTCACTCATCTGTCCTTCAAGTCCTAGTTCAGATATTTCCTCTTCTCGGTCACCTTCGCTGATTATACGAGATTGGATGAGTTTACAGGAGGGATTATTCCTTATCATAGCACTTGCCACATCACGTTATCACTATCAGTTCACCTGCCTGCCTCCCTTACTACACTGGGAGCAGCCTAAGGAAGCGTCATGTCTCACTCTCTATCCTTCGTAACCCTGTACCTACCACAGTACCAGTACACAGCACCTGTCAAGGCATATTTGTGGAAAGAAGTAAGACAGAAAAAAAAGAACAAAGAGAGAGAGAGAGAAAGGGATGACTAAAAAGATAAATGAGAAGGGAGTAAGGAGAAAGGAGAGGAAGAAAAGAGAGTAGAAAACAGAGAGAAGGAGAGAGGAAGAAAATGAAAGAGGAAGAAAGGAAAGAGCAAAAGAAGGAGGGAAAAAAGGAAGGAGGATGAAAGGAAGGAAGGGAGAGTGTATGAAGTTACAGAAAAATGGAGCCTCATGGAGTTGCTAATGGAATGTCTGGGGAAGCTGCACACACCATCAGTTTCTCATGACTGTTCAACTCTCGGGGCTTGCAGACATAGTCAGGGAGTCCCAACGTTAACGAAAATAAAGACTAAAATGAACCTTAGAAACAACAGAGTTCAACACTGTTTTGTAATTGAGGAAACTGAGCCAAAGACAAAGGATGTGGCTTGATCAACAGGAGGTAGTTAATATGGGTTAAGATGTGAATACAGGTTCAAAAAATCTTAAAACCCAAATTCTCTTTGCTACATTCCCCTCCCCAGAGACATAACTGAATAAAGAATGACACAAGCAGGATGGTGCACAGGGCCTTTGGTCCCTGATCCAGGGCTGTGCACACTGCAGTTTCATGAGCTATTTCTTTTTTCCTAATATTTTACTTAATACAAAGAACTGCAGTCTTAGCGGTAGTTATAGTACAGTAAGACAAAATAATATTTGAGCTCTTTCTGCTTCCTGCTTTGAATTTCACCTCAATCCTCTAACAGGCCTGGAGCTTTTCTTCTGTACTTTTGTCACGTGTCCTCTCACCTGGAAGGCTCCTGCTGCCACTTCTACCTTTTGAAATCCTTTGCATCCTTTCAAGGCTTTGCTGAAATGCTTTTTCTTCCATGAAACCTGCTTCAATGTCCCTAATGGGAAATGATCACTCTGTCTTCTCTGCTCCAATGGTACTTTGTTCATTTCTTTCTCAAAGCATGAATTGACCCATGCTTTTTGTTACAGTTTTAAGTGCATCTTTTTTTCCTTTCGCTAAATATACACTCCTGGATGGCAGGACCCATTCTTGCTTTATCTTTGTCCCCCTAGCAGGATTAACACAGTATCTTTTATATGAGATGCATTTTATGTATTTCTTATACTGAATTGAATCATAGAACCCATTTTCCAACACTCATGCCTATATCATCCAAAAAATCCATATGCCCATTTCTTGATTAAATTTTCCATGGGTATGATTTTTTTTAACACTTTTGTTGTGCCTACTTTTGTTCAAAATTGTTTAAGGTGAGCTGATAATATGGATCAAAGATAGTGTATAAGTAGGAAAGAAGGCAAGGAGGGAGAGCAGTGTAATTGAATTAGTGAGTATCAGAAACATCAAATTTATAGTAACAGTGTGACTTCATATCCTGGCCAGTTGAAGGAGCAACTATTATGAGAGATGCCTGTCCCTTTAAAAATATTGACAGATTGTAGAAAGAGAAAATGGCCCAATCTGTCATGGGGTTCTTCTTTTAATGTGAAAGCTTCTTGCGGAACTTTACAGCAATACATTTCAAGTACGGGAAATAATAAAGAAGCTTAGAAATACTCAGTAACCCTTATCCAAGGTTAGCAAGGATTTACTTGAGGTGAATAACCTGGGCTGCTCATTCCATTCATTTTAACTAGAAGTATTCTTGCAGACGGCAGCTAGCAAATTGATTGAATGTTCTGAAATGAAAACAAGAAGGCATTTTAAATGCCAGCACTCCCAATCTCTCTCGGCCACGATTGGCCCTTTCTAAAACTCTATTTCTTACCAAGGGAAGTTAGCAATTACATCAGCTTAAGCAAAAAGACTTCCAAATTGTTTTAGAAAATATCTTAACAATGCCTTTAAATGGGATTTTACTCTTTTTTTTTGGCATTTTTAAAAACATAATTTTAAGCATCCTCAAGTCCAACATATTTCTGTATTAATCACCTACTACTGGCAGTCTAGATAATGGCAAACTAATGGCAGCAGAATGTTTTATCTGCACTTTTCCTTGAGCGTTGTTCAGAAGGCATGTTTTTTTCATTCAATGCTTATATGCATGGCCAGATAAAGTGCATCGCTGCACTCACTTATAGCAGATATCCTTTACAGTAGTTCAATTCTATCACCATTTTTAGAAATGTAATTTTCTAGCACTAAAGAGGTATTTATAACTCCATTGGTTTTAAAATGCCATGTAGAAGTCAAAGGAAAATTAAAAGCAAGAAACATAGACAGCACAAATAATCTGCAGCAAAATAGAAAGATTATTACTTTACATTCCTAACTCCAACTTGAGAGTAAGTATAATAAATAAAATTAGAAAAAAATATATATAAACTAGCTCTTGGGTATTTCCTAAACTTCACAGAGGTTATAGACATTATAGCATTTGTTAGGGTAAATTGTTCCTTCAGGATGTAGATTAAAGAGCAAATTGTGTTGCTATATGCTCTTTGAGTCCCTGAAATATTGTTTCTTTTTCTTATCTACATTTTCCTAAACCTTATTAACGAATAGCAGCTGATTCTGAAGATTTAATTTTTCACTCAATTCTATCTCTCTCAGATTCCTATGATCACAGAAAGTGCTTCTGAACTTCAAAATTACTTCTTTCTGAGCTTTTCCAAAGAGAAAAATAAAATCCTCAAATATGGACACACTCACTCACCTTTTAAGGTAGGATTTCTTAAATCCATGTCTGTACCCGGTATGTTGGGATACACTGGAAAGACTCTTCCTCAGAATATTCTCTTCTACTTGAAAATTTATTAAAATAGCATTTTTCTGTTGCATACTCAATGTCTTATGTTATTGTTACTCATTAAGAAAGTCTATCACACTAAGTCACACTAAGTCTATCACACTTAATGCTGTTATCCAGGTTAACCAATTTATCATTGAGAGAAAGGATGTTATTGGAACATTGTTCAATTTGGCGTATGTAACAATAAAAGAGGTGAATTTCTGGAAGTCCTAGTGGCAGAGATTATGTAATTACCCTTGTGTAAAATTATCCTTATAAAAAAAGAGGGGTGATTCAGTGACCTCATCTGTAAAACGGGATAACAATACCTACTTCATAGATTAACTGCAAGGATTACATGAGCTAATAACTTAAGGACTCAGTAAGTAGTAAATTAGTCCATGTGAGCTGGTTTTGCTATCATTAGTCCTAGTAAAGTTTGACTTTTGTATACGGCAATGAGGCTGAGAGAAAAATTGGACTGGCTTGGGTCAGAAAAAGAAGTTGCTGACTTCTTACCTCCAGGGAGTCGTCAGCATTCACCATCCAGCAGTCTGTCCAGGTGGCCACAATCAAAAACCCAGCAGAGAAAAAGGCAAAGACACAGGCGACGTACTGTAGAAGATCCCTCATGGGGGCCACCAGGTCTGTCCTCAAGGGACACATGGGCAAATACCAGTCCTGGGCCCACTCAGGTAGCTGGAGCACTGTCACCTTTCAGTGTTTCTGGTACCTGGGGATGTGCAAATGCTAGTCTTTTAATTTGCTCACACCCTGCGGCAGGCGTCTTAAGTTGCAGTAAGAATAATATAAACAGGCTGGAACCAACAGAGGGGTCCAGGAGGTCACTATCCAGAGCAGCTGGTCTCCAATCAGAAGGCAGGTCGGTGAAAGGCCTGAGTAGGTTTTGGGTGGGGGAGAGAAGGAGCCTTGGTAATGTATTCTGCCCAGACTGCGGCTAGTGCCAGACAATGGTCACCAGAAGCATGTGCAGCACCAAGAAGGAGGAAAGGAGGAAGGGTCTCCCCCATGCTGGGGCCTGTAAACTGATCCTTCTCAGGCCCTCCAGGGAAAGTGAGCAATTCTCCGCCCCCTCAGAGGAAGGCTACATGGTTGACTGAGTGTTATTTTATTCTTAGAACTATTTTAATATTCTCTGACTTCCTTAGACAGGCCACTGTGAAACTATGTGAAACAAGTGCTTGCTCAGGGAGTTTGCATTCCAAAGTGTTGGGCAGAACAGCCCCATGAAGGGTTTCTGCACTAAGCTGCAGGTAGAGTCAAGGCTCCTGGCCTTTCAGCACCACAGTGGGAACTAGTGCCCATTTTAATCCAGACAACTCTGCATGTAAATCCTTGCTCTGAAGCTTACAGGCGGAGAGACCTTGGGCTATGGCTTCTGTAAAATGGGGTATTAATACCTCTTTCAAATAATGCTTGTGAACATATTTGGTCTGTAAGTTATTTAGGGAAGTGTCTGATGATAACATGACCAAAATTTTCCTATATTATTATGTTTCCCCCCATAGACCAATGTGTGTTTGAAAATATGTCTAACGAAAAAAAACCTGTTTATTTTATGAAAAAAAGGTTGTTTTTTCAAAAAAGTTTTTGATATAGCAGGGGCAACTGGAATTTTACCTATATTTGAATAGGTCACCTTATTGGATATAAATATTGCATAACCATTATTCTTCTTAAACTGCTTAAAAGAGCACATTACCACAATTTTGTCTCCATCAGATAGACTTCTTTATACTAAAATAAAAATTTTGAATGATAAAAGTAAAAGAAATTTTTTTTTGATATGGTTCTTAATGCAAGACAGAGAGAATGAGAAGAGGGGAAAGAGTGAGAGAAAGACAGGAGCAGGGAAAAGAATTAGAAATAGGTCATTCCTCTGGAAAGAATCAGCTACTAAAATAGTTATTTTAGGAACAGCTCATGAAAGGATTATTTTTTTTTTCATTTGATAATGATTTAGTCTTATTTAGTGTAAAAAGCTAAAAGGCTAAAATTAGTATTGATAAAGCATTCTTCAAGAATATATTAAAATAGACTTTTGTGACTAAACTTTATTTCTAATTTTAAGTAATGCAAGTATTTAATACGTGAATTTAAATATAAAAGCTGGATATAAAACCATATGGGGAATTGCCATACATAAGGCTATAGAGTAGTTCTTCTTAATCTGGGGTTTTGCTTTCCATGGTTTCAGCTACCCGTGGTCAACCAAGGCAGGAAAATATTAAATGGAAAACTCCAGAGATAAACAATTCATGAGTTTTAAATTGTATGCCGTCCTGAAAAGCATGATAAAATCTCACTTCATCCCGCTCAGTCCTGGACAGGATGTGACTCATCCCTTTGTCCAGTGCATCCACCCTGTATATGCTACCTGCCCCATTAGTCACTCAGAAGCCATCCTGGTTATCAGATCAACTGTCGGATATAGTGTGTATAGCATTTGGTACTGCCAACAGTTTCAGGCATCCTCTGGGGGTCTTGGAAATGTATCCCCTATGGATAAGGGGGTGGGGGATGCTGTGTATGATAACAGTAGTTATCACTAGTTTGTGAGGTACATTACAGATGCTTTTTACTTTTCTTATTTTATTTGACTTATTTTACTTAGCGATTAGCAAAAAATAATACTTATTTTTTAAAGTGCTCATTCATAGAATGTAATTACCTATGGTATAAGGCAGCTACAACACACACATGCTGCTTTGGTGAGTCATAAGTGAATCTTGCCTGTGCCCTAAAATATAAAATGCTAATGCTCTATTGACCTAGGAGAGCAAACCAGTTCCAAAAGCTCATGCCCATTACAGGAAAAGTCCTGGACTTAGCTGTTAGCTTGCCACCCAGGGACTTTTCACAATGTACTTTTCCTGCTAACAGGGCACCTCAGGGCAGTGGTTCTTAAATTTGAGTATTCACTTGAATCTTCAAGGCCACTTGTTATAAATGAAGATCCATGAGCTCCACTTCCAGAGATTTGGATTCAGGAAAATGAGAGTGGAGGATAGCAATTCACATTTTATGTATATTTTATATAAAATTCTGATTCTGAGACCAGTGATCATACTTTCAGAGACTAGTTCAGAACAAGAAAAGAAAAATCAGCATAACAACTACAATAGTACTTTTCAGAGTCATGTGCTACAGATCACAGACAAAGCTGTAGGAAAGAGGATATTGGAATTATATCTTTGGTACTAATTCTTCCCTAGCTGGTACCAATAGTAGATCCCAAATCGAAATATCAAAACTTAACAGAGAGGATAAGGAAAAAGAAAAATAAATACTGAACACATGCATGCATTTCCACATGCAAACACACATCTGTACACATATGTCTCTGGGAATCAGAGATGCATCCACAAGGAAGATCTAGACTATGACTTATTTATTTTATTCCCAATGTTTACTGAACATTGTATGTGGTTGGGGGTGGGAAATTATTTAGGTGAGTATAGAACTGTTCCTGAATTGAAGTTTAATACTTCTAGAGAAGATCATAAGATGATCATGATTAAACGTTAATTTCTGTGAGTGAGGCCATAATATGATAGGAGATCCAAGAAAGGAGGGTCATGCAGACTGACAGAGCAGTAAAGATTTCATTGATGGAGTGCAAGTGCACTTCTAAGGAAGAGCTAAATGTGCAGGAAAACGTGAGAATGGAAGGTGCAGATGCAGAATAAATCACTCCCGAGTCTGTGTAGACAAATCTCTTTTGCTTTCTGTCATGCTCTAGACTGCAATATTTAGCTTTATCAACTCAATCATAGTTTAGTTCCATTTCATCCAGCACGCATTTAGAGACAGCCTACTCTGACTCCAGTTTTATGTTAGGTCCGGGAGACACAGAAAATGAAAGATGCAAAACCTGGTCCCCATACTTGAGAAGCTTACCCTTCAGGGAATTGACCCAAGCCAGGCACTAGGCACGCACATGAGAGGAGGCAAAGAGTTCCATCCAAGTAACTCTGACACAGCCTCAAGTTATACTACCCTGCCAATAACTGCACAGGCACATCAACTGGAAAAGGGCAGGGGTTCTGAGTGCATTATTAACACGAAGAACAATTATCACTATGTGTGTGGCTCAATAGGGTTTCCAAATGTTTTCAAATATATTATGTCATCTCAGCTCCATGAAGACAGACATATTTGTTTTGTTCACCAATGCATCCCACATGCTTAAAATTCTGCCAGGCATATGGTAGGCTCTCAACAAATATATATTGAATTGAATTAAATCCTCACGGCCCCCACATTTTACAGAAGAGGGAGTAGTACTGGGCTTTCTAAAAAATCCAGGGTCACCCTGGATAGATACTAGACTGGCAGAAGTAGCCTGATCATCTTTGCTGCCCCAGAGCTGTTTGCTCTGCAAGCTTCCTGTGACAAACGTGTTGTCAATTCACTGTGCATTGTTCTCGCATTCACCCAACATTTGCACTGCTCCTGGGTGATGTTTTAGAGCCACCTGGTGATCAGGTGAGTGGCACCCTCAGTCTACCACTCTGGCTATTTGTCTATGAAAGGAAATAACTGTGGAACTGGTAATACTGCAATCGTCCTTTTGGTCTGCAGGTGGAAGCAGCCTTGCATTTTCAGTGGAGCAAAACAGCAAGATAAAGTTTTTGTGTTAACTCTGCTGTTTCTGCTAGTGTTACAAAATGTCCCTTTTATATTCATTATAATAATGTGAGTCTTTAAAAGGAGTAAACTGATTTGTACCATGTTTTATAAATAAACTCCTCACTGCTTTTTAAATGCCCAGTGCTCACTGGGAAAATCTGCACAATAAAATCAGTTGCTTTTGTCAAAGGCCACGCTGGCTATAACTAATGCCAAAATAAATCTAAGATGCTTAATATTTGTCAGATCTTGAGCAAGCTATTTAATATTTCTGAGACTGGCTCCATGTCAATAAAATGAAAATTACGAATTCCTTCTCATAAGATGGTTATGAAAGATAAATAACGTTTGTAAAGGTCTTAATACAGTGCATAGAACATGATAAACAATTAATAAATTATATCTATTATAATTTTTATTACAACCTTGCACTTTTCTCTATGTGTCGTATATACGTATAGGTATGTGTATGTATGTCCATGTACATCTATATATAAAATAAGCTTAGTAAATTGAACACACAGGAAAAAGAAAGTATGATCATGAAGCGACTTTATTTTTTTCTCCTGTGGTCTTTTCAAATCCATTCAGTTTGAGCCAATTCTTCCCCTGCTCCTTGCATAATATCTAGGGTAAACTCCATAACAATTTCTGTTATTTTCAGGTAATGTAAATTCTTCCAGTCACTTCAGGACACAAAGATACAGCTTCGTTCCAGTGATGTAAATGCCTGTACCCTTGCAGCCACTCCTCCACCATGCAGGCATCAGAGTAACATGCCCACCATAATCTTTGCCCTCTAGATTTCTTAGCCTGGGATGTATAGTAGTCTACTATGTTTCTCCAGATCCAGGTAACAAACACCAAGCTTTCAGAGTAGATGAGCTGAAACCCTTTCCCTAGGCTTAAAGAGAGGTACAAGGACCCCCACTCCCTTCTCCATGGTGACAGGGAAGTGGTACTCAATACATATAAATAGCTCTCTCCAAAAATTCTCTCCTGATCTTTAACTCCTTTCTTGGACTTAATCTTGTTTGGTGTTTGGGGTTTTTGTTGTTGTTGTTGTTGTTGTTTTGGGGAAGTGAGGGGAGGGGTGATGAGGAGGAGACAGCTGGTCCAGTAAGGGTTGCAAAACTGGTTTTCAGACACTTCTTTTGTAACTCCTGCCTGGAAGTCTCTCATTTCATATTAGAATGTGGTATTTATTGTTTAGTGGCCTTAGTCAAAACTGGGACTAAAATGGCTCCAATTAAAATATTTGTTA